TAAATAATAATATATAATTATGTCCAACTAAATATTAAAAGGAATAATCTTCAAAATTTGTATTTTACAAACATTAATGAAATGAATAATCCATAAAATCTACATTTATGCCAAAAATTGATTCCTAATCTAAAAAAATTATAGAAATAGAAATAGTAATAATGAAATATTTATTTTAGTAATTAAAATGTATGAATTTTCATATTATATGTATCTTAGAGATCCTAATAATTTTGATATATTTTTAAGCTAAGAGATTATATATTTTTATAGAAATTAATTAATATTTTAATTTAAATTAAATAACAATATATTTATAATTTATCAAAACAAAAAATATTATTTACAAAATTTTTGAGAATTTAATGCATTTTTCCAATGTTTTAAAAAAACTGACCCAGAACCAGAACCGTTATGGCCATTGGTTTCTAGGTCAACAGTTCGACTATCCGGTTTGAACGGATGACTCATTCTGGCAAAAAATAAAATAAAATAAAAAACAACCAAAAACCGTTGAATGGGTTGAATGAGTCAATGGTTAGACCACCCGGATCAACAGGTCATTGATTCAATGATTTTTGGTTAGGGATTGGATTTGGGGTAAAACGAAACTAGTTGCTTGGTCGATTCCCAAGCTAAACTGTTTGACCGTCTGGTTTAATGGCGGTTTGAAAACCATGCATTTATCAATAAAAATGAATGATATGTACATATTCTGTTACATTAATTATAATGTATTTCTTTATATGTGACATTCAAATATGCATGTCTTATATATTTATACTTTATTTGTAATTATTTCAGGATTTTTTAATCTAATTGAGTTTTAAGTGGTTCGATGTCGGTTGGGCCACTATGTTTTGGTACGTAGTAGGTATGTAGGTGATTCATGGCTTTTGATGGTTAGTAGGCGGACTGCTCTTTGATCCACACCAAGCTAGAAGCCACAATGATCGATGTGTGACATGAATGAGCATCAAGATGTTGTTGGATTTTCATTGATCTTAATTAGAGTGCGGAGATGGCCTGATTATCGAAAGAGTTATCTTAAAATGAACGAGTTCTGATCTAATTTACCATTATTTAGGTGGAGATTGTGAATGGTTTTGTATTTTAAAACAAAGACAGCTTCCATGCCAACAAAAAGAATATATTTTTTACTTATACGGAAGTTTCTTTTATTACCATTCACAAAGTCCAACACACTTTAGAATAGATTAGAAGGAGTCATTATCTAAATTCAATTAAACTGACCCCTGCACAAACAACTAATAAACTACTAATTAACAATAAGACTTATTCAGTTCAGCTTAAACGGAAGCTTAGAATAATGGAATACTCTCTATAGTAGGGTTAAACCAAAATTTTTGATGTGATTTGTCACAGAAATTCTGTGAATATTTCTTTGTCTCTGTCACTTGTATATTCGCAAGGTTATCACGGGTTGTGACAAACTTAAGTTGCGTTTTGGTTAAGTCTTAGCATTCGTGCTTTTAAAGCCCTAAAGCACAACCTCTAATTTTACGTTTTACTGTTTTGGGATGTAGATAGGAATGGCAACGAGGCGGGGATTACATTCCCCATCCCCGACCCTGACCCCGACCCCAAATCACCCCATCTTCATTTGCTATTCCCTCGAGGAAAGAAATCCCCTTCCATCTCCGATCCCGATAGGGATGAATTCCTCATTGGAGACCCGAATCCCTGAAAAGAGAGACTAAGAAAAAGTTGAGAGAAAGAGAGACACAAAGAGAGAGAGAGAGAGAGAGAGAGGAGAATTGTGAGTTGAGGCTGGCGACGAGAGAGAGAGTCCAATGGGCGACGGCGACAGTGGTCGGCAATGATAGACTGGTAGTTTGAGAGACTAAGGCTGAGTTTCAATTCTTTCTTTTGAGTACCTCTGTCCTCTGTCGAGACTCGAGTGGTAGACCGGTAGTCGGCGACGATAGACGTTTGATGACGTCTGATGTCCAACGGGCGAGTGGTGACATTGACGGCGATCGACGTATCGGCGGCGAAGACTAAGGAAGAAGAAGACTGACTAGGGTTCACGGTTCAGAGTTCTCTGTTTGTGTTTGTCGAAGACTCTAACCTCTAAGTGTCGAGTGTTATTGTTTTTTAAGTTTTAATCTTTAAAATAATTAAATAAATGAATAAAAATATAATATATAATATAATAATATAATAATATAAATATTATATAAATAATATATAATATTATAATATATATATAATTATATATTTATTAATCAGAGATTTAGGGATAGCCCCATCCCCGGCCCCGACCCCGTCAGGTCAGGGAGCCTGGGTACCCGTTGAGGACGGGGAAGATTGCCACATGTAGTTTTAGATTGTTATGTTTTTAAAAGCAACTCTTATCACTTGCTTAAAACAAATTTTTGCTCATTATTTCCCATTACCAAAATCTCAATAGTAAAAGATTATTCAAAAGGAACCTTAATGATTGTTTGTGAGGGCTTTCTTACAATGGATTCTGACTTTGTGAGGTGGACTTTAGATGAAATTGTAGATTTTTCTTTTTGGTAATAGATGAAAGTGTAGAAATTATGTTTTGTGACTTTGCGTGAGGTTGTCTATAAATTGTTCCTTTAAAATAGAGACATAAATCGGGTCATGCCGCACACAGCCCGACATTGTAGCACATGGGTCATGCCGGGTTTGGGTTTTCAAGCCCATAGGCTAGCATGACAACACAGGTCGTATTGGCACAGGGTCATTGATGAGGGATAATTTGGCATGACCTAATAAGTAAAGGTCATGTGGACGGGACCTGCTAGTAGGATGACAACTCGGCAAGGGGAGCCTAGTCAGTTGTTTGGGAGCCCAGGTGTTCGGGCACCTCGGTACAAAGCCACCTCTGCATAGGGTCACCTCGGCACAACGTCACCTCGGCACCTAAGCCAGTTCGATGCCCAGGAACTATAGTGACATGTAATCAACTCCAGGAGCTTCTCAGTGGACTCCGAACCTCCTAGGATTCCACCGCATAACGGCTGGCCTTATCCTCTCCCCGCCCGGATCGGGCGGTAACGATAGACTTCATTGACTGGTACGTTACTCCCCGTTTAAAGCGGAAACAAATCTTATCTACTTAGGCCGAGGATCTCGGAGTCATTTCATAAGACCCACGACAGTTCAACTATATTAGGACCCAACGTTGACTGCGTTGAGTTCATTGTTGGGGACGCCAAATCCATCTTGGTGAACAATTACAAAGGAGCGGATTTTGTGCTCATAGATTGTATTCTGGAAGGCCATGGAAATTTTTTTGGAGTGGTGCATGCGAGTGCAAAGAAAAAGGGTGGAGCGGTGGTCGTGGGCTATAATGCGTGCAAGAGTTCTAGGTGGAGGAGTGATGAGTCGAAGACCAGTTGCTGCCCATTGGGGAGGGGTTGTTGGTGAGTGGTGACCCATATTCCAGTGACTCCCAAAGTTGGGGGTGGACGTTGGTAGCACCAATAGAAGGAGTCAATGGGTTGTCATAATGCACAAGTGAAGAACATGTGTTTAGAATCACATTAGCCCACTCGAATGGAATTCAAACTTAGATCTATCTATGTGTGGTGGTAAGGCTAAGTGTGGTGGTCTTTTTGAAGGATGAAGGAAGGTTGGGAGCAAGGGTAGGCTACGAGCTTCTATCGACAGGGTTGTGTCTTCGTTATGATTCACACATCCTTTTATAGGGAAAGATCCCAAGGCACAGAGGGGAAGGAGTCAAAAGGATTTGATTCCTATTTGGAAAGGAGATCTTTGATTCATTGTCAGTTGTCAGGGGGACACTGTTAAAGGTTCGCCACGTGTCTTATGAGATCTCTCTAGGACGAGGTTTCCTTTCATTTGAGAATTCTCATAATACACGTGTGCTACTTCCTTTTGCAAGTCTCCTATATTGACGTGGCGTGGGTGGCATCAGGGTTTATCTGATGTGTCCCCTGTCACTAGAGGAAGATTCGAGCCGAGTTGAGACAAATAGTATCAGGCTCGAGCTCGGCTCAAGACTATTCTATAAGGCTCGAGCTCTAGTAAGCTCAAGCTCAGCTTGTTTAATAATCGAGCCATTGAATTGGGCTCAAGCTCGAGCAACTCGTGAAAAGTTCCGCTTGTTGCCACCCCTACCTGTCACGAGTGATTTTGTCTAATCATTGTATTTTCGTTCATCGCCAGTCCGTGATGGTTTTGAGCTCATCGCCAATTCGTGGTGCCCTTAATCTCGTCGTAGGTCTGTCGTGGCATTGAGCTCATCGTAGGTTTGTAGTGGCTTTTGAGCTCATCGTGGATCTATGGTGACTTTTGAGCTCATTGCAAGTTCGTGCTGAGTTGTGAGCTCGTTGTGGGTATTTCTGTAACTTTGTATTTGGTACCTTCATTGTCGTCGCAGTCATGATGAATAAAGGCAACAACAACAACAACGAGAAATTTGACAATGATGGCAATGACTTCTAGGCTGAGATTGAGTTACCGGAGTTGATCAACAATGAGGTGGTTTGGTCGGAGACAGTTATAGAATATTTGCCACAATTGTGTTATTGGAATTGTTGTAATTGTAATGACTTAGGGAATTTCTACAAGATTGTTGACAGAAAGAAGGGGGAAAATGAATTGCTTGAAGATTGTATGAGAGAAGGGGGAAAATGTCTTCTTCGAATTGTTGGAAGAAGACATTTTTCGGTCAGTTAGATTTTAAGAGAAAATGATAAAAAAAGAAAATAGAGAAATGTTAGTAGGGTATTTTGGTAATTTAACATTTTCCATCATCTGAATTAACGGTCGAGGTGGTCTTTGTTGCAATGTAAAAGTTGAAAGGGTTATTTGTCGCGAAGAAAAATACAAGGGGGTCCTTTGTTACAGACCCCATATAGTACATGGGGGTCAGTATAATTTACCCTATTTTTTTTCAGTGGAAATATTACCTGAGTCGTGAGTAGTGTCAACGCGTGCACTAAAGAGAAAAGTATATCCTAAACAATGCAAAAGACATGTATAGAACCAAGGAACAGAAACTGATTATCTTACACTGAGACCGTACTAATGGCCTCCGGTCTCTTTATTTCAGGCAAGAACAAATAAATTAAAGAATACTACTCTAATAAATCGACATACGGACTATAACAAAGATACCAATCATAAAGCTAGAAATTTGTATAGGTTGGTCAGTCGCAATTCCAACCCTGGATCGACTTGCTGCCGAAGTTTAGTGTAATGGTGCAGTTCATTTCTGCGGTTTTGCGCTTCTTCATTACCTTCATCAAATGCACCTTCCCACTCAACTTTGCATAACTGTCGAGGATCAAAGTCCCCGAGTCGATATCATTCCTCAGGTTTGAATTGCCGGATAGCTGTTCCGAGTTCACTTCCATGGTAACGTTCATCCTTGTTGTCTTTCTTGCCTTAGCTCTCGCCTTGGGAACCAGAGCCTGCCCGACGGTCGTTCCCTGATAGGAGACAGTTACGGTGCTATTGTCAAATTTGAAGTGACCGAAGTTCTTGTTCTTGACTGCAACTTCGCCAATCAATTTCATGGTGAAGGAAGCATTATTGCTGAAACTGAGGTTCTCAACAGTGACGGACGTCATCCTAACACTGGGAGTTTTGATCTTTAGTACAGTTAAAGCAAACACAAGGATAATTATGGTCTGAAACACAGCGAAAGCAAGAATATAAACAAAACACTTGATATTACGCTTGTGACGGAGCTCCTCCTTAGACCGCAAAGATGCCGATTCTTCGTCGCTTTTCGCTGGACCCACGGCTGGTGCCAAAGGATTGGTCTGATCCTTTTCTGCCATGATTAGTTCCTTCTTTGTTTATTTCTCTCTTACCTTTTTTTCAAGTCTCTTTTGTTTTCTTCTCTCACCTTAGCTTTTATTTGGGTTTTCCCCTGGAATGGGAAAATATCAAAATGGGAACTGGGAACTGAGCTAAGTTGGGGATATTAGATTAGATGTGGTAGATATAAATTTATAGAGATAGAGTGGATATCTAGAAGCATGCGGTGTTGTGTTTTTTTCCACAGCGTGTTGAATGGTGCCGTTTATTGATTCTGTCCGTCGTTAAACGCGTCCTTTTGGGCTTTGGCTCTGTTCTTTTTAATTTTTTTTTTTACTTTCAGGCTTCCCCCCGGAAGTTTCTCCGTTATATGTTTTTTATTTTTTTCAGTTTACTAAATAAACATGTAACGTTCTACTGATGAAAAAAATGCATTATATTAGAAGTTTCAACCTTTTTTTTTGGCTGCAACAGAAGCTTCGAACTTATCAACTACTTTATCCTTTTACTTGTAAACGTTAATGTTTTTGGTTTCATTTGTTTTTTAAATTGCAATATCAGCCAAAAAAAAATAAGATGTTGAAGTGTGTTACTGATAGGGGTGTACAATCGGTCAGTTTGGTTAGAACCGAGGACCTAACTCACTACTCGGTTTGATCATTTTCTCTAACCGAACTGACCCTAACTGAATTCGGTTCAATTTAGTTGGATTTTTAGTTCAGTTGGGCCCTAATTCTACATAAATGATAAATATTGATCTAAGGCTGTTCACGGGTCGGGTTGGGTTGGTTTATTGTTGTTTTTCTAATTGACCTGACTTGGTCAGGTTGCCTGAAAATGAAATCGAAACCGACCCTGTATTAGGCAAAACTGACCCGATCGATTTGAACTGGTTTGGGTTGGTTTGAGTACTTGAGTTGAGGGGCTAAGGGAGTAAGGGTGGGCCAAGTTAGAAGTAACCAAGAAAAGAGAAAGTCAAATTGTGTTAGAAAAAGAAGACTGAAATTTGGAATTTTTAAGAAGGCTTCTAATCTAAGTAAAAAATTCACCTAATTGTAATTACCTATTTCGTGTAAAAAATACATCTTTCTTTAAACCTTCCAAAAAAATGCAAGAAGCTATTAATAGCATTCCTTGTCTTGCAATGCTTGCCATTAATGGCATTCCTAAAAAGAAGATTAGAAAGTAGAAATTATAAGTAACTATAACTAACTAGAAAGTAGAAACTAAATTAGGTACTAACTACTAAGTACTAACTAGGAACTAAGTCGGTTCGGGTCAGTTCAGTTTCCGTTTTCATGTGTGGAAACCGAAACCGAACCGACCCTTTGGTTTATGCTTTTTAGTAACCCGAAACCGACCGACGCTAAAGAAAACCCGGCCGACTCGGTTTGGGTCGGACTGGGCTGGTCGGTTTGCGTCTTCTTATGAACAGCCCTACATTGATCAACAACTAATAAATAATTTATAATTAATAAGTATTATTAATTAAAAGTTAAAATGGCCCCAAAACCCAATGTTTTTAATTAATTGACTGTTATTATTACTTAAAAGTTAGAATTCCCCAAAGCCTAATGGTTTTAATTAATTAGCTATTATTAATTAAAAATTATGCCCAAAGCCCTATGCCAATGGGAAATTGGCAAATTGGGCAACAATTAATAATTGATGAACTATTAATGATTAGTCTAAGTTTTAATTAACAATTATTAATTAAAAATTATTCGCAAACAATTAAAACCCAATGGGAAATTGCCAAATTGATTATTGGAAAATTTAATAATTAATTAGCATAAAGTATTAAATAGATCACATTAAATATTTAATATACTTCATAAACACTAAATCGGTTTCAGATCGGTTCGGTTGAAAATCTCAATCAAACCGAACCGAAAACCGAAAACTTATTTTTTTAAATGAAAAACCGAACCGAACTGATATCCAAATTAACCAAATTGAACTTGCTTATTCGGTTTGGTTCGGTTTATCAACCGAATTTGAACACCCCTAGTTATTGATTTGAGAAGAAAAAAAAACAAGTTGGTTTTCTTTCCAGACTATTTATGTTTTTAAAATTAAATTTTGCAATACAAAGACTAGAGATTATTAGATAATGGGGGAAATCTATGATACCGACTGTACTGGATGAGCTTTGACCAATCAAAATCCACTAATGAATTTTGATAGATACCACAGAGTCTAGATTTCCAACCCACGACAATTCTACCCATACCTACCCACATAACATCACAATCACACATAGGGAGCATTTTATCCTATTACTTGTTATTATGCACAGGGAGATTTTCTTAATGTACGGAGATAGTGTTATGTGGGTAGGCATGGGTAGAAGATCCAGAGTCCGGATATCCTACCCACAAAAACTCTATCCATACCTACCCATATAACATTATAGTCACACATAGTCACATATAGTACTGGTACATGTATTTTAAATTGATATTCTTTTATTTTTATTTTTGAAGGCAAGGATTATATTTCATTCAAACTAAAAAACTTGTATGAATATAGGGAAGTAATCATAGTACCAAGCAAAAAAGCTCAGATACAAATCCTTGGAAATTAAAGAACAAAATATAGACTATGCATAAAGGAGAACAAAAAAGAACTTCTGCAACCGACATAAGGTGGGTCAGAATCACCAACAGAAGAAACAATTGAGCAACAGAATTACCAAAAGGACAAGATACTCTCCCTTTTTAGTTTTAATAAGAAAAAAACACATGCACAACCAATGTTTTCTATGTTTTTATTTTAAGAATTTGTTTTGGAAACAAGATGGTTTTGATTTGTTTTTGAAACTCAAAATAAGAAAACCAATTCACATTAGGGTACATTTGGGAAAAGTGCAAATATAAATATGTACTTAAAATGCAATATTTTGTATTATTTTATATGTATTTATATTGTACATATTACTGTACCCTTAATGAAGAGCACCTTACATATAGATACACGTGAAACTTCTATCCTAGAAAACGATGCAACAATGCAATTGGCGTGATTCATACCCAAGTCTTATCTATCATTCAAAGTAACTAATGATTTAAGCCACTAAGTCACCTTTCATTTTTTAATGATATGTGAAATAAAATAATTTTTATTATATTTATTATAAACGTGCAATATAAAAGAATGTTATATGTTTATGTTCAACAGTTCCAACTTAAAATTAAATATAATGATATTAAAAATTAATATTTATAGATAAAAATGAAATAAAAAAACTACCAATTTTATATTTAAAACAAAAATTGATTGTTTTACTCCCAATAAATTTATACAAATAAAAACATTAATAATAGAATAATTGTTTTAGTACTTAAAAGTCATACATTTATACTTAAAAGTGATATATTTGTATGTATGCATAATTTTAATATTTTTATAAATTATTAATTGATATTTCAATTTACACTAGATAATAAAATATTTATTATTTATAAAATTAAAAATTTTGTTTAAAAAATATTCAAGCATATAATATTATATTGAACATATCAACTACAATAATGTAAATTTATATAAATAATGATTTATTATTTTGGAAAATTTATTGAAATAAAAATGTTAATAATGGAATAATTATTTTAGTAATTAAAAATTATGAATTTGCATATGATATGCATTTTAAAAATTTTAATATATAGATATGAAATATTTTAAGTTAAGATTATGTATTTTATAAATTATCAATTGATATTTTGATTTACATTTTACAATAACATATTTATTATTTACAAAATAAATATATTGTTTATCAAGCATTTCAAAATTTAATATTTAATTGACTTTTTGATGTTAATATTGAAAAGTAAAAATAGTAAAATAGAAAATAATTGATATAGTAATTATAATATAATAATTGCATTTGTTTGTGTCTTGAACTTAGTTAGAATATAACGTAATAATGGTTTTATGCATGTGTTAATTTTTAAAGATCTATATAATATGAGTCTTGGACTCCTGATTAATGGATTATCAACACAATTGTATGATATCTATGCATGTTATATTATTTGTAAAATATTTCTTTATGTGTACTATTAAAATATACATTTCTTATGTATTTATATTTTATTTGTGGTTATTTTGACCTTAAGGCTAGTGTAATTGATGAATTTACGAAATTTGTATCTATTTTCCTAATGTATCCATGTGTTTTCATATCTTTCATCTATATCCATGTGTTTCCAAAGCATATTCGTATCCATATCTACATCCAAGTTGTGCAATACGATACTCAATACCGATACTTTGATCCTTGATATATAGACACATGTTTAGTGTTGGTGATTACACAAATTGAGGCTCATGTTCGAGTTCAACCCAAGTGCATCAAAATTAGGGTTGGGCCTAAGTTGAACCAACTGATAGTTTGGGGAATGAACCACCTGATGAGATTCATATGTATACATTTCTCAATTTGATATCTACATTCAAACTCAGTTATATCCAAATCCATTGACAACCCTAATCATGACCCACATTGGAGTGGATTCTAAGAAATGAAAATAGAAATTCAACTTGATAATGCCTTTATATTAGGGCTGTAATCGGACAGGATTTAGCAAAACCTGTATCCGATCCAACTACTAAAACCCACATCCGAATCTGATTCGGAATCCAATTAGATTTGAAGACCTCATATTCGAATTTGAATCCTAATTGACTCAGATTGGATTTGGATTTAATTTGACTCTACTTTATCTTTTTTTTACTATAAAAAAATTAAAAACTTAATTACTTTTTAACTTTTATATATAATAAATTAATGTAAATAACACTTAATTTATTATTATATATAAAAATCCATATATAATCTAATATATAGAATATATTTTAATAATTTTAAGTATAAGTATACACAATTTATATATTAAAAATAATAAATATTATAATATAATCAGATTGGATGTCGGATTGGGCCTAAGATTTTTGGGTATCATTGTCAGGACTACTTTATATGCTTCTCCCAATAATTCTTGAACTATAATATAATGGAAAAATCCATGATGTGCCAAAGACATGATACTAGAAAATCTCCCCACATGATGAATAACACTTGATTGGTTATCACCTTTATGATATTGGTTGTTTGGCTACAAGTTTATCCAGTATCATATTCTAATTTTATTATAATAGTTATTTATGCAAAAAAAAAACATTAATATAATACTTAAAAATTATAAATAAAATATTAATTGGTTTGAATATATTCTAGATAGTTAAAGGTAATTAGCTTCTTAAAAGGTCCATTTGGGTATTAATTATGTTCTGACGTTCTAGAAAAAATTATTTGTGTCCTAGCTCAACCAAATTATAACCCGCTTAAGATGGCTGCAGCTTTGGTTGAACTGCTTTTACTAAATTGTTTTTAAGGCTCAGTTTGGTACGAGTACAAATACAAATATGTACTGTGCAAAATGCATACAAAATACAAGGTTTTGTTTTTGCACTCTACAAATTTGTATTTATACTCCTTCCAAACTGAGCTTAAGAAACCACTTTAAAGAGCTTATGAGAAGCCTCATTTTGGGTTGAAAGAAAGCAAATTTGGGCTTCTCCATTTTTTAATAAATACAGTTTCTAGATGCGGTCTTAGGTCTATGTATCTTATAAAACCAAATCTACCTACCACAGCAAAGTCCTTCCAAGCGGGCACTTGATAAAAAAGAAAATAATAAAAAAATTCAGTATTTTTCTTTTATGTCGTTAATTTCAAGATTCATTGAATTAATTGATGCGTTTCATTTCCGTCGTGGTTGAAGAATACCTGGCAAGCTGCTCGCATCGCAAGTCCTAAATCCTAATCCAAGAAAAGAGAGATAACGGTATTGAATCTTGCTTCCCTTTTCACTTTCTTGGAAATGAATTTGTCGAGTCTTGGTTGATGACTAATTGCCCGCCTACACAGTTTTCAATACCGTAATCTCTTAACATAAACCTGGACTTGATTATTTTTCTTCTTGTCAAGACTCAAGATTCAAACTCTTTTTTTTTTTTTTTAATTGAATTAGAATGAAGTGGCCAAAGAGACAGACCGGATCGCTTTCGGCCTCTATCACTTAATTGACTTGTTGCTTTCATGGGTAAAGAGTACGCCCTTCTTCACTTGCTTTGTTGCCTTTTTTTTATTTTTTTTCCCTTGCATTAGTACTAGTATTAGGGGATGCAAGTCGGATGGATAAGATTGGGTTGAGGTCAACCGTGGGGTTTAGGTGGAACCAATATTTGTACTTCTTCTTGCCAAAATGTTCTTATTTTCTACACTCAGCTAACTCAATCCAATCTTAAGTCAGATTCACCACAACCTTAATCCTGAGCTGACCTGGTCATCAAATTTTGACAAAATACCAATCTAAGCTGTCAAAATTGTATCCCTCCCTAGACCTAGAAGCAGTGTTTTCAAAATATCAATCTGTGCTCCAAACGTGTTTTTTCCGTTAAGTGTGAACAATCTCCTTCCTTGAGAGAGTTTTTCAAGGTTAAGACAAGTAAGTATAACAAATGTGTATGTACGGAAATGGTCCCGATGTGTAGCCCCTAAAAAATAAACAGATAAAAATAAATAAAAACCCAAAAATTATAAAGGCTGTGTTTGGTTGCAATTTAAATAAATTTGTATTGATGCGAAATTATGACAATGTAAATGATTTGTGTGTAAATTCTGACTTATATTTGTTTTAAATTTTAGTTTATTTTGTTTGATTTCAGTATAAATGAAGTAAATTAAGACATAAAACAGAATAAAATAAAATCCAAAACAAAATTAAACAAGAATTTGCATTTTTTACATTTGCACTTCTTACATTTGTACTAATACAAATAAAATTGCACTGCAACCAAACACAGTCTAAGGGTTGCTACATGTTTCTCTTTTTTCCTGCTTAACGAGTTTGGAGCTGATGATCAAAACATTAATTATTAGTCACATTCATTCAGCCGTATATTGAGAACATCTTACTTCAAAAAGATGTTTCCAATGTGTTGTGATCAATAGAGTCGGACTTGTAACCCATTCATAACCCCTTCACCCCCAACCCTATTTGGAGTGGGATCAATTTGATCCAAGGTCTCTACAATGTGTTAGGGATTTTACTATCTCATTAGGTTGTTATCTGATAGATCATAGGTAGGTATCGCGATCTAGAGGTGAAATGTGGGGGCCGTGCTGGCCTGGCATAACTCGTGCAGGTTAGGGGTGAAGTTGAGCATGAGCCTGGACCCGTGGCCCATGGGCCTTGAACTGGGCCAGGCTGGCCCATGTCATTTCATCTTCATTCTTTATTTTTGTTTTCACTCTAAAATTTCAAAAAATAAAAAATTTATAAAATAATAATAATAATGAATTGAAGGAAAATAAAATGATTGTAGTAACAAATTGAAGAATAAATCTCCTAAAATTTTATTTCATATGAATAATCAAGTCATACAATAGAAATATGAAATGATTAAGGGCCTTATCGTTTTTGGGATTTTGAGAGAGGTAAAAGAGACAGAGACAGAGAGAGGGAAAAAAAAATGAAAACTAAAACACCTTCCCCCATAAGGCCATAAGTAAAAGAAGAAGAAGAACGAGCGGTGAATAGCGTACAATTCTAAATCCGTCCGTCACAGGCAGCTCAAATTGCTGATATTCATGGTACTCAAATCCGCTGTCATGGTGCAGTTCATTTGGGTAGATTTGCGTTTCTTCATAACCTTGAAGAGATGTACCTTGCCGGACAACTTTGCGTGGGTGCTCAGCGTTATCATCCCAGAATTACCGGAGAACTGGGAGGACGTTGCATTTATGATAAAGTCCAGTCGCTGCGTTTTGCGCGCCTTAGTACGGCCGGCTTGAATCACGGCCTGTCCTACAATGGTGTCTTGGTAGGAAAAGGTTAATATGCTGCTCTCGTATTTGTAATGACCAAAATTCTTGTTCTTCACAGCCAGTAGGGCGTTCAGTCTTATGCTGCCGCTGCTGACGCTGTCGATTTTGACATGGCTCAATTTAAGACTAGGCCTTTTGATACGAAGCACGAATAACGCAAACACCACGATGATTAAGGTCTGCAGTATCACACCGATGACGATGTACGCAAAGCATTTCATGTTCCGTTTCCGGCGGGCCGAGGGGGCGGCCTCCTGCTCGCTGCTCGTCATTAATTGCTGGGAGTGGAAGCCTGGAGGGAGAGGAGGACTGGAGGAGGAAAACTTTAATGAATTTAGAATTTAATTCTGAGATAAGATAGAGCTGGTCATTGTGTTATTTATAGGGAAAAGTACTGCAAACACACGATGCAGAATTCTGAATTCCAGCTCCCTATAAACCACATCCTGCCCGTGAATTTGACATCATTCAGGGTCAGGATGCATTCCCTCTACTTTGGGCCTAGTAAATTCTGAGTTGGGCTGACTTGTACTTCTCCCGTTATTTATAGGTGGTGATGGTGGAATGAAAAGTACGTACAGGTACAACGTAGCCTTATGACTGCTGAGTTAAATTACAAATTACAAATTACAACCCAACCCAAATTGTTAATTCTGCCAAATCTGCATCCCTGATACGTTACAGAGATACCAGATTCCAAACCTTGAGTTGAGAGGAAGGAATTTATCATATTCGCCTGGTCTAGTGTAGTAGTGTAGTGTGTGGGTAAAGCAAGGCACATAGGCACCGGCCACCTCGCTATAATTAAAAGACTAAGCTCCCACTTTGAACAACTTTTGACTCCAAATTTCCAGATTCGGTTAATAGTTAATATATTTTTTGTGATTTGTTTGTTTTCACTCTTCAAACGCGATTATACTGATCTGGTCTGATAACAATAGAATAAAACCAATTGGGTATGTGATATGATGACAGAATGCGGGCTTCTAGAGTGTAGGGACCATCTCTCTTGGTCCCCCCTTTCAAGTTTCAACTACGTTATCTGCGTAATTATCATCAATACTGAAATTGGGAATTTCTTTCAACCCTTTGAAAACATATGCTGCCAACTGCCAAGGGAAAGCTTACCAACTGGCTCCATGTTTTCATCGTGTAATACGAAATACATCGTGTAACACGAGACAATTAGGAGTCATCAGATTGTGTCTACTCCTCTCCGACGTTCTGTTTCCACTAAAATCTGCAGATTTTAGTAGTATTAGTTTCAATAAAATACAATATATATATATATATATATATATATATATATATATATATATATATTATGGGTAGTGTGATATCAATAATTCATTATCATGGCTGTCAATATACAGATGATTATAATACTAGGGAGACTGAGAGGCCGGGTCTTCCAAGGCGGCCATAAAAGTGGATTCCACACGTTGGAAAATTTTACTTGTGCTATTTTTTTTTTTTTTTCCCTTAGATGCTGCTTTCGTGGGACCTCCATATTTGAATTGGTAGCTTAATTCAATCACCTTTTTATATTTATAGAAACGTCTACAAGGTCACAGCTAGACCTGTTCATTGGCCGGGTAGTCCGATAGATGGATCCGGCCTGATTTAAGTTGGGCTTGGACAAAATATCAGACCTGTAGGTTTGGGTTTGGGATTTCTCAAAAATGTTTGGTCCGAACTTGAGCCCAATTTGGTAATGTAATTATATAAAAAAATATTATATATATTTTCTTTATTATTTGTATCTTTTTTCAAATAATAGTGAGATCTTTCATTATTTTTCTTTTAAGTTTTGAGGTCTTTTAATATAAACAAAGCAGTTTTTATTGAATAAATTTTTTTTTCCAATTTTCTGGCTGGGCTCGGGCCTGGGATGGGCCTGGGTATATTCTGTATTAGACAAAGTCCAACTCGAACCCGACCCATGAACAGGTCTAGTCACAGCTTGAGTCAATTGCATTATATTATTGTACTATATTAATAGACCTGCTCACAGGCTCGGCTTCAGGCTCGGCTTTAAAGTCTCAGGCTTGAATTTCAGTCTAGGCCCATTGAAATTTTGACACAAGCTAAGCCTGAACCCGTAGAAATTTTTGTTTTGTTTTGTGTTTTGTATTTCTTGACTTGGATTTTCAGCCCTTGAACCAAGTCTGATCCCAATACTTCAGGTTTTCTTATTCTTTGGGTTGGTCCCAGGCCTAGCTCGCAGGAAGCCCGAGTCCAACCCGAACTCAACCTAACCTGAGCCTAATACTTCAGCTTTTTTTATCCTTTGGGTTGGTCCTAGGCCTAGCTGGCCCGAGTCCAACCGGAACTTAACCTAACCTGAGCCCAATCCAATTATATAAATACATAAAAAACATACATAGACACATACATGTATGCCAAATTTTAATTTGAATTGATTGAACTAACCAGGTCTCAGCCCAGGCCCAAACCCAACCCAAATATGTGAAACTTCAGTATGGGCTAGGCCTGAAATGGACAGATCGGGCTCGAATTAAGTCTCAGTCCAGTCTCGGCTTAGGCCCAATTCTTAAGGATGGGCCTGGGATATAAACTCATTCAGCCATTGGCTAAGCTGGAACAGGTAAGATCCAGAGTCCTTGGCCATACTGGATACTCTTGTCAAGTGTTGTGTTAACTGACAAATAGTTGTTTATGTGTGGAATTTCGAATTTTTTCCGCACGCCTTTCCGTTACTTATTCAGTCATAATTGGCAAAACTTCAAGCATCTCAGTCTCAGCATACCATACCATCTTCACCTCTTCCACCATAAATGAATATGTCTAGGAATTAAAGTGTACTATCAGATGTTGAAGAAAAAGGCGCCACCTTAGGTCGTGGAATTGGGAGACAAAATGAACTGGAGACAAAATGATACACACCCGGCTAATTATATATCATTAGGGCTGTTCATAAAAAAATTCAAACCGATTAATCCGGTTCGATCCAATCTGAGTTGGTCAGTTTTTCTTTATGACTGGTCGGTTTAATGTTGCAAAGATGGGTAAATCGACAGTTCAGTACGATTTTGATTTTCATGTGTGAAAATCGAAATCGAACCAAACTGAACCGAGTTATCTAACTACTTACTACTTAACTAGGTTGTCTCTATCCTAATTAATTACTTAGCTTTTTACTTCTTTGATTCTTTCTAGTCTTCTCTTTAGGATTGGCATTAATGACAAGCATTGCAAGGCAAGAAATCCCTAGTCCCTACACTTCTATTCCTTTAGAAATATTAGCTTCTTGCATTTTTTGGAAAAAGGACCTTTACACCAAATAGGCAATGACAAATAAGTATCATTTCTTTCCTAGATTAAAGTTTTTTTCCAATTTCTAAATTTCTTTCTGCTTTCTCTTTGACTATTCTTTTCATGGTCCGCCTCCCTATTCCTTAAGGCTCATAACTGCAGTTATGACCTTTACACCAAGTAGGCAATGCCAATTGTGCTGCCATTTTCAATGAGCAGTTGTAAGGTTTTCAATTTCATGAGTGTTAAAGCTTGGGGTCGATTGAAACCGACCCAAACCGACTCAAATAGACTAGGTCGGTTTTGCTTAGTATAGGGTCAGTTTCGGTTTCATCTTTAGGTAACCCGACCAGGTCGGATCAGTTGGAAAGACACCAGCAAACCGACCCAACCCAACCCGTGAACAGCCTTATATATCACGACTGTATACACCAGTTCTCACTATGAGCCCCATTTAGGATCTTGCTATACTGAACACTGGTATGTTCAACCATTATAGGTAGTTCCGTTGGATGTGTATGTTTATGTCTCTAGTTAATACGCTCCCGGCCTATGGCAAGTCAAGTCCTAGTCAATAGGAGTGTCAATGGACTGATTTTGGATTGGCCTCTTGGATTGGCCTCATCCAAATCAAAATCAATTTGGATGGATTGGACGGACTAACAAGACATATTGAATTGAACCAGTGCAGACTTAGTGATTGGAAATTCATTGGATTGGGTTGGCATGGTCTATCCATAATGAATTTATATTGGATTGAACCAATCTCTAGTCCATTGATAGAAGAAAAGAATATAGTGTCAATCGACTAGATTTGGGTTAGAACTAACCTAAATTAAAACAAATTGGACCAAATTGAACAGTCCAAAATATTTATTGAATTGGATTAAAACTGATCCATTTGTAATGAACTCATATTGAACTGGATGAGATTGAACCAAATCCAGTCCAATTGACACCCCTCCAATCGGCCAACACCCAAGCTTGCATATACGAAGTATTGCGACTGGCTATGTATCACATAAATGCTATACTCATTAATCTGCATATCGTCGAGATAGGCTTACCGTGAGCCTATAACTAGGCCCATTAAAACACAAGTGCACCCCAATCTTGGATGTGGTGATACTGCGCAATTCTTGGCCCACCCTTCCAACTTGGAAACTTGATCCAAAGAAACTTGTGGCTTTTATATTAACCCCCACAATATACAAAACTTGATTTGGTTTTATATGTATATATGCCACAGTACAAAACAATTAAAATCTTTTTAAATTGACGGATAAGCTACCTAGGCCCAGTTCACAAATCCAAATTGCCAGCAACCCCAAGTAAAAAAAAGGGGGCAATTAGGCCCATGTTTGGTTTACTGTTTTAAGTCTTATTCTCTTAATTCTTGCTCATTTTAGGCAATAATGGATAAGAATGAATACATTAGAGTGTTTGGTTACAAAATTCATCCCAACGGTCACATTCTTTTTAAAACAAAAAATCAGCCCTATAGCACAAAAATTGACTAGCCTACAACATGAAAAATAATCATGCCCCATCTTAGTCATTTCATTCTTTGAGTAAACTCTACCTATAAAACTGTTGCCATAGATGTTTACTTTTACGAAAACACTTTTACAAAAATGCTTTCATAAAAGTACTTTTACAGAACATCTATGCCAATTGGTAAACATTGACTATTGGAGACCTAGGTTGGTGGTTTGTGAATACCGGCACAATTTTTTTTTTTTTTTTGAAGAATGAAAATGAGTAACATATGACACTTGTTAATCTGAAAAGAATTCACTTTTAGGAAAAAAAGTATTTGGTTCATAGCAATATTTTCTCATTTTACCTATTTTTACCCATTTTTTTTCATTTTAGAATTTCATCTTGGGTAAGAATGAGAATTGAACCAAACATGATCTATAATTAGGGTGGCAATTTTCCACCCAACCCGCCCATTTACTTGGTGGGTTGGAAATGGGTTGATCATCCATTGGGTCAATTTAAATGGGTTGGGTTGGATTGGGTTGTGGATAACCATTGGGTTAACCACTACAGATATAAGTATTAATTCCGTAGCATTTTTTTAATTTTCTTCATTTGAATGAAATAATTTATAATTAATGCATTAATTTTCTATTAATTATTA